GGAGGGTTCCCCTGCCTAGGGCAGGGGTGTTGGAACTAGATGATTTTTGAGGTCCCTTCCAACCCTAACCATTCTAGGATTCTATGATTCTGTCTATAAGAGAAATTTTGCATGAAATTATTTCTCCTAAGCCACAAAAAAAAAGATTCTATAATGTAGCCATCATACTGAAGAAAAATGGGAGGTTTTAATAACCTCCTTTTTGGAGACCTGGAAAAGCTAGCTGTCTTTTAGTTGAGGTTAGTCGTCTTGTTCTTCAGAACTCTTGCGGGCAGCCAAGGATAGATAATAGCCTGTCATTTCAATGAGGACTCTTCTGTTTGTCCTACTCACTAGAATAAAACCAAAAAGCATAACCATTAACTATTTGATACCTGATACCTTCAATGTTCTTCGTGTTTTAACAAGGAATGTTAGCATGACTAGATCGCTATGACAAGAATGGGCCTTTTGACTAAGACTTCTCCCCAAGAATGATAATGAGAGTTATACTTTGGGGAAAGTGGAACAGGCTTAGTTTCTCAAAGCCCTGAAGTATTCAGTCTTTTGCAGGTACTGCTGAATATTAAGAATTTGACTTAGAAACAGGTTAGTATGTCTGCATGGCTTCCAGTTGACTTGTGGTACATGCAGAACAAATTACTTGGCGCATAGGGAGAATGAGTTCGTATTCCTCCTGAAAACAAACATGTACATGTATTTTCATCAATGTGTTACTTTAATTAAGCTCTTCTAACAGTACAGAAAATGTAAATTCTGTAGGAAATTATTAAAGGGGTACTGAGGGGGTAATCTCTGAGTGGTTTCCTTTTTGTATCCCTGGATGATGAAGGCTTGAAGTTGACAGTGTGATGATGAATCACCACTGTAGATTTGTTCAAATGTCCTATCTTGGATTTTGTGATGACTCTTAGAATAATGTGAGGGATTCTTACTGTCTGAATCTGATCTGTGTACTGTCTATTTTTACAGTCTAAATTGTGATCAGTTTAGTCTTGTATGATATTGCAAAACACTGACTCCACAAATATCCAGAAAGTTTCATATCCAGAAAGTTTCAAATATGGTACTGAATTAAGTAACTAATTCTTGCAGGAATTTTGTAAGGGTAAAAAATAAAAATCCATAAATTAAATACCTGTAAGGATTACTGTAAAATTTTCAGTATTAAATCATAGAACAGCCCAAGTTGGAAGGGACCTGAAAGGATCATCTGATCCCGCCTTTCATGGGAAAGGGAGACTGGATGAGATTATCTAGCACCCTGTCCAGTCACAAATTGAAAACCTCTTGTGACATGTACCATGTCCCTGGGAAGTTTGTTCCAGTGAATGATTATTCTTACTGTAAAAAAAAAAAAAAATCTTTTTTATATCAAGATAAAACTTCTCCTGGCGCAACAAGTGCGGAGTCCTGCACCTGGGATGACATAACCACAGAGCCCCAGTACAGGCTCCAATCTGTGTGGCTGGGGAGCAGCCTCGCTGAGGGGGTCCTGGGGGTCCTGGTGGACAACAAGCTGAACATGAGTCAGCAGAGCACCGCTGCAGCAACAAAGGCAAATCGGATCTGCAGGGGCGTTACTAGCAGAGATACAGACATTATTGTCCCTCTCTACTCAGCACTTGTCAGGCCACACCTAGCGTGCTGTATCCAGTTCTGGTCCCTACAATTCAAATTGAAATATTGAGGTTTATAGATGTATATTTAAAAAAACCTTAAACCCACAAACCAAAATACGCTATGAATGTCAAAGCGTAAAAAGAGCAGCATTTCTGTAATAGGCAGTATAATTGCTCTGTTCAAGAAAGGATAGGCTTGGACCTGTCCCAACACTAAATGCTACTTCAAAACGACCTCTGGTGTTTCCTTTCCTGCCTGAGGTGATAAGGGCAAAATGATTTTGAAATCACACCTTTGTAGCATTTTGTAGAGTGAGTTATTTTGGCTTGAAAGTAGTCTGGCTAAAGTAAATTTCAGAGGTCTGTTTCTGATTTATGGGTAACCACCACTATAGGAAAAATATGATGGAACTTTAAAAGGTTGTGTAGTCCAAATGCACTTGAAGGAAGCTTTCAAGTAATCTCCTGTCCCTCTCCTAAGTTATCTTGTTAATGTTGTTTTCCCTGCATCGGGAGTTGGTGGTGTTTCATACATTTGTGAATTAGGTTTGCAGGACTTTTATTACTCAAGTCTTGGCATAGGAAGCTTAAATGCTGTATTTTTACAGGGAAGGAACTTAAAGCTAATTTATCGTACTTTTAGGTAAACTTTTTTGGTTTATTCTGTTTTGTTTGAAAAATGGAACATAGTCTGAGGGGAGGGCTATACCGACACTGCAGCTATAGTGGAGGAATCTGTTTAGGGTGATCACCATTTAAGTCCTTTAATGTGATTTTGGTTTTAACCTAATTTCCCACTGTCTGAAAACCCTGCTGGGCTTCTTGCCATGTTGCCGAATAATTGAGGCTCTGTTAAGCTGTAGAAAACTCTACCAAGAGTAGCTGCACAACAAATGCATTTTAAACACTAGCTTTCTTTTTTCTTTTTTTTTTTTACTTTTTTTTTTTAATGTTCTTGTTGATTTGCTAGCCCTTTCTCTGAGCCAGTCTGCCCTAAAAGTGATTCAGAACTAGAAGTTAAACCTGCTGAGAGCTTGCTCAGATCTGAATCTCACATGGAATGGACATGGGGAGGATTCCCAGAATCGACCAAGGTAAGTTTAAACTCTAACGAGTTTCGCCGCATCTGAAACTGTGTCCGGAGGGAGTCGGGAACGTGCCGCGGGTCCGCGGGCAGCTGGGCTGCGCTGGGAGAGTGGTGCCCCCGTGCGGCTGGCCCAGGGTCGGATCGGTTGCGTTCGAAAGCTGGTCAGCAAAGTAACTCCAGAAAACCTGGCAGTAAAAATCTCGAGTTTTCGAATCTTTAGTTAGAAACTGAAGAAAGAAACTTTAGAAATTAATTTCCTTTATTTTAGGCTAAGTTCTAGCTCATTCCAGAGCAATTGTAGCCTTGATAGAGTAAATTTGGTATCTTAACAGGACAGCTGGTGACAGAAGCACTGGTGCATCCACATTTATGTTTTTCTGACTTGACATGGTTTGGTCAAGTCAGCACTTCTTCTATGCCAGTTTCTTTACTGAACTTGTAAATAGGCTAGTAAGAAGCTTCTGTTGCAGGGAGCTGTGCTAATAAGGTGGGACATGTTTTACGTTGCCAAAATACATGTTTAAATTCTTAAGCGGTTTACTTGTGATCAGGACTTGTACCGTGAGTACAAGTTTAATGTTTAGACCAGAATAAAACAAACGTGAAATAAAAGAATTGATGAGAGTTTTGTTTTTCAGATAAGCAAGAAAGAGAAACTAGAACATCCCAGAACAGCTACCATTACTCCGTCAGAGAAGACTCATTTTAGGGTGATCCTCAGCTCTGATGAAGTTGAAGATGATGATGATGATGTGAAAGATGCTGTCTGTACAGTACTGAAACCTGAGCCAAGAACTCATCCTTTGCTTAAGCAGATGGATGTTAAAGATTCTCTTGCTTCTGCAATCATAGAACCCCAAGATCCATTGCCATTAGATGCCGATCAGCATTCCAGACTGTTGGTGGACCCTTTACCAGAAACAAAGCCAACAGCAAAAATTGACTCTCCTTCAAAAAAGAAAGGTATACAAGAAAGCTGTTGATTCATTCTTTCAGTGTGATCTACCAAATTTGAGGCCACAGTGGAAAAAGTATAGATGTGCTTTTTCAGTTTTTCCTATTTAAAGTCTTATCTGACTAAAACTATAGTTAAACTCTTGCATTTATAAATGTTATAAGTGAGTCTGTATCTTCCACAATTATGTTTGTATTTAATGTGCCGGGATAGCTTCATTTTAGAAATCTTAATTCTTAAAATTAACAGGTGTGCACAAGCGAAGTCATCATCAGGGGCCTGATGATATTTACTTGGAGGACCTAAAGGCTTTGGAACCTGAAGTTGCAGCCCTCTACTTTCCCAAAAGGTAATTTTGAGTTAAGATTCTGTGGGTCTAGGGTTATGTTGCAGTTGCACTAATTGAGTTATAACATGTATGATTTAGGTGTTTATGAGCCAGTTCTGATAAAAAGAATTGGACTTCAGGTTTCTAGGTTTTTGTGGAGTAATCAGTATTGATCTTATTGGGAAAATCTGTTTCTGATTTGACAAGAAGCACATTGAAAGATCACGTGGGAGGTCATTACTGAGTTTTCATCTTTGTGGAACCTGTATCTTCTGCACATATAGAGGGGGGGAAGTTTAAACTGCACAGTCCTTTTGCATCAGTACTCTATTTGGCCATATCGCCAGCTCTAGATAAGCACACACCAGTTTATTTTTCACAGGCCCTGTACATCCCTTCCAACTTTTTTTTTAATATCAAAAAACAACAAGGAAAAAATCTCACAAGATCTTCATGCAAGGCAGCTCAGTCTCAAAATGCACTCTTTTTTATGACATCAAAACATTTTTATACTCCTTAAATAGAGTAACTGTCTAGGAAGACCTTTGTAAAAATGTATTGTAATAAAGTGTCTATTGCTTTATGTTAAAACTAAAATTGTAAACTTTTCAGTACTTACTTGGTTACATTAGTTGGGATCAAACTAATAACACTAACCTTAGATGACAATGTGATATTTTATATTTAAAAGATTGCCTTTCTTTTTTGTTGTGCTTTTTCCAAATACACAGTGTTCTAAAAATATCAAGCAATGTCATTTTTCCTTTTATTCTTATTCTACAGCTTTCTGGTAAAGATTGAGGAGCATAGTATTGTTCTGCAAAACCAGAATGTAGAGGATCTTTTCCTCATTTAAATTCAATTTTCTTGCAGGCAAGAGAAATGTAGTTATTTCCCAATTTAGGTGAATGTTAGGAGAACTGAAAACTGTCAGTCTGCCAGTGTTATGAAGGGTTGGAGGTGTGTGTGTTTGTATCTGTTCTTTGTTTCTTTGGTTTTGAATTTATATTGTAAAATGAGGTAATGCTTAAAAGAAAGGCAACAGCAAGGTGATTTTTTTTTTTTTTAAGTAATCATATAGTATGTTCTGTAACCTAAAATCTGTACCTTTTTTTGCAAGTGAAATACTTAATGGAAAATGTGGACTTCTTTTCTTTAGTGATTCTGATCCAGGCTTCAGGCAGTGGACAGAGTCAGATACCCTTTCTGGTTCCCAGTCACCCCAATCAGTAGGAAGTGCTGCTGCTGATAGTGGCACAGAGTGCATGTCTGATTCTGCCATGGACTTGCCTGATGTTACACTTTCACTTTGTGGAGGTCTCAATGAAAACGGAGAGATTTCTAAAGGTATGTGAAAGACTAAAACATAAACAGTAATAAAGCTCAGGCAGCTAGCGAATGAAGTGGCTTGAATACTCTGATTTCCACCTTACGAAGCGTGGGCTTATTATTATGCTCATGTTGAGGAAAGGGAATGGATAACCTTTCATTCGCTAAAATTCTCAAGCATTTGCCAAGCAAAAATAGCAGAGTTTCACCTCAAATTAATCAAGAGCACTTGGTGTCTTGAGAAACTTTGTCTCCTTTTTTGCACTATGTATTGCATATCTGATCAAACAGTCTTGTTTCTGGCTGCAAGTGCTTGCTTAGTCCTGTATAAATCTTCACTATTCATGTTCTTTCCAATTGCCTGATCATTTTTCTTCTTTTTTAGTTTTATTTAAGTGATTAAAAAAACTTGAACTGTTGTGTTGGACTCTCTTTTGTCCTCCTCTTTTCCAATTCTAAACATTTGTTAACCTTTAGCTTTTTTTACCAGCTAACTCTTCTCTCTTAATGCTCTGCTTAATTTTAATAGTGAAGTTGTCTGCATTTTTGAGCGAGCTTCTAGGAGCACATAATTTTAATTAATATGCATTGCAGCGTTTTTAGTATTACTTTTTTAATGGTCATCCAGTCTCTAATGCATCAAGTGAAATGTAAATGTTTATTAATAAAGGCTCAGTACAGCTCTTTTGGTAACATTGTAGTAATATTGGACACAATGCAAAAAAAGTTGTCGTCTTTGCGGAGGTTTTACACTAAATCATGACTTTCTGCAAACCTGTATAGTCACTAGTCATGAAAATGCTATCAGTAGTTGATGATTAAAAAACTCCGAAAAGCTGACATCTTTCCCCCTCCCCTTTTAGTGTAGTATGTAGGCCCCTTACTTGCCATAATAATTTTAAAGGAAAATTTACTTAGACAAGCATGGTTTTCTTTTCCCAGCTTGTAAACTGAATTAGTTCCTACCTCCTCCTTACCTTCCCTCTTCTAATGTCTTAATTCTCATTGTTGTGACTGTTGAAGTAAGTGTTATGAGGCTTTCCCTGTTAGTGAGGAGGCAGTCACAAGACCCTTGACAGGTAGGCCATATTAACATATCATGGAATCACAGAATGGTTGGGGTTGGAAGGGACCTCAACGATCATCTAGTTCCAACCCCCCATATTTTGAGTGATATTGCAAGATCAGCAAAGACTCTGAAATGACAGAAAGCATTTTCCTAGACCCAAACTAATCAGACAACATGGGATTTTATATTATTATTTTTAATCAAAATCTGCTTCTATTGCAGAAAAATTCATGGAACATATTATTACTTATCATGAATTTGCTGAAAACCCTGGACTCATAGACAATCCTAATTTGGTAATAAGGATTTATAACAGGTAAACTCTCTATATCATGTATTCTAGTCATAGACGTTCTGATTTAAAATATACTCTTTAAATTGAGTGGATTTCTCAGCTCCTATTGCAATTTGTTTTGATAGATTTATTTCTCAGTCTCAGAGTATGATTTTGAACTGAAGTTTTGCATTAAATTCAACTTAAACTGAAGTGAGATTTTTTTTCAGCAATTATCACTGATGTTGAATTGTATATATTAAAATTATTGTGCTTGCAGAACACTTTAATTTTAGTTGTTGGCAGCAAATATATATTTTTATCAACAAAAGGGCAGTTTGCACTCTGATGTTTATTGACCTCTAGTCAGGTTTTGTATTATCTTATCAATAACATGTTTTAAAACAGGTATTATAACTGGGCATTGGCTGCTCCAATGATTCTGAGTTTGCAGGTGTTTCAGAAGAGTTTGCCCAAGGTAAATACATACGTGTATGCTTTTTTAAAAAGATTTTCTATATAGTAACACAATTATCTATTTTGTTTTTCCTTGCAAATTAAAAACATGCTTAATTTTTCAGGCTACTGTTGAATCTTGGGTCAAAGAGAAGATGCCAAAGAAGTCTGGAAGATGGTGGTTCTGGCGCAAGAGAGAAAGCATGACTAAACAGGTAACTGAGACCTTTTTTTTTTTTCCTTCCCCCCTTAGCTGTTAAAAAAATGACAAAATTGTCATTTGTCAGAAGTGCCGCACAACACTGCTCATGTAGCTGTGTCACTGATTGCTAGCTGAGTTACTCAGCGTTGCAGCAGCTGTAGCTGCTTCTGTATATTTAGTCTTAAATACCACATCTTTATTCACTACTACTAGTTGCTTCAGCAAAACTTATTGTATTCATCTGTTGCACAATATTCCTCAAATTCTGTCTTCTAAGCCCTAAGCAGTTGTCAGAGCTACTCTTCATTCACTGCAGTATGTTTCAGGAATGTAGATACAAATAAGTAGGTGCTGTGCTGCATAGTAGATGTTATGCTTATACACCCCATTTTAGACTAAATTAAGCTTTCTAAACCTTGAGTATGTGCTTTAAATTTACTTTCCCCCCCCCCAAAAAAAGTGAATTTTATAAACTTAGAAGTTGACATCTCCTTTAACGCTAAATTCATCGTCTTAAACTAGTAGTTCTCAACTTCTGGCATGCAGAATTTTGTTTCCTGAAATAATAAAAAGCTTTAATGGATCATTCGTAAACATCCTTTTGTTAAATAATTTACAGAATAATCAATTCTGAGACTTAATATAGTTTATGTACTATATTGATAGCTCTTTGCTTAAGTGTGAACTATGAATTTGCTTGGATCAGTGTAAAATGCTTAAAATATCAATACGTTTTTTTATTATCACGTTGCTTTAGATACCAGAGGCAAAAGAGGGGAAAACTGAGACGCAAAGAGCAAATGAGCTGCCAGCAACTATAAATGAGCAAGTTAATAGCAGGTGTGTTCCTGTCTGAAGACTGTTTTGTGGACTGAATAGTGTCTTCTTACTTTTTTTTAATGAAGAATTCAGTAGGAATTTACTGTGGGAAGAAACATTTCTCTCTAAGCTACTGAAGAGAAACCAGATGTGTTTGGCAAACAATTCAGCAAAACAATGTGGCAACAAACATTGTAGGAACTACAAATACACTACAATTATTTCCTAAATCCTATTGTGTTCACTTCTTGAATCATAACATAACTGACAGTACAACAAAGACATATGGTAACCTTTATCAATGGGCTGCTACTCTGTAAATATAGTGATATTGTTTCTGAGATACTGTTTCTTTTTTTTTTGTAAAAGCCTAATATTGTACAAATAATTTAAACCATGTGCAATTTTTTTGTAACATTAAATAATTGAAACAATAAAATAGCATTAATTACAGTGCACAAGTTGCCCAGGATTGTGGTCGAAAGCTAGCAATGTTTAGCACAAAACTGTCCTAGTCTAGATAATTTATTACGCGTATTCTTATTCTCCCATAATTTTACAAAGATACTTGTAAATGTTGTTGGTGTCTTGAAAGATTTAAGAAACTAAATATATCATGATTGAATACTTCAGAGAAATTAAATGCTGCTTTTAATCTTGAAATCTGTAATCAGCAGAGAAGTAAGTCTGAATAACCTTAAAAGGTGAGCTACTCCATTAACTTACTATCCACAGTTTAAATTATATAATAGCTGTGGCAGCTTTTTTAAAAGATGAAACATTGTTACTTAGTCAGTATCCTTCTCATCTGCAGTTTACCTAATTCATCAACACAGTATTAGTGCTCACTTGACACTGCATCTTTACTAAACTCATCATGCATGGAGCCAGCTAGAAACAGTGATGTTTAGAGCTCCACCAATACTAGCACGCATTACAAGTCTTATTTGCTTATTGGCATATACTGGCTTTATCTGGGCATTCACTAGACTGTGGACTCTGTTAATCTGTGCTGTCAGGCTGCTAGCAAATCCTCAACATAAGCAGAAATTAACTCTTGCATAAGAATCTTACACCAGTAAAGAAGGATTTTCTGTAGCTTACATTCCTTCTGGTTGATGTTATGTTAGACCTCCAGAAGATGATTCTTCTAGTGATGAAGCATCACAGGAGTTGAAGGAATCCCTGAAAATAGATTCTGCCCCAGTGGAACATCCAACCCATGGGAATGTTACATCTTATAAGAAGTCACTTAGACTGTCTTCAGACCAAATAGTAAGTGGCATGCCTTTCTTGTACATAAGATGCTTCATAATTTCACTCTGATTCTAAAAGTTGGACATTTTCTGCTTTTTAGAAATGATGTATAAGTACATTTCTCAAAGTAAAAAATGATCTTCGGGTTACTTTTCTGGCAGTAGAAGAAAAGGAATGGGGAAATTTAAAATTTAAAATGAATTCGAAGTGTTTTCCAGTGCTAGAGTGGGCAGCTGCAGGGAATTTGTTTTTTCTTTTTTATTTTCCTATTGTGTTTTTTAAGAATCTGGGTTTGGATTAAAAACCAATAATTTCTTATGAAGTTCCGTAATTCAACTTCCATATTAAGATGTTGCCCAGAAAATGATGCTATTGTCTCCTGCAGTTTGGATATCCTGGGATCTTAACATTTAAATTGGTATGCAGTGTATTCATTGCAGTCTAACTTACAAGTTAGTTCTGCTACTGTCTGAGTGTATGGTCCTCATCAGGGAAGAATTTTGAGGAAAGCATCCACTAAGTAAAAAATACCGTTGCACACTGCAGCAAACTGGGAGTTCCTTTTGATAGTACTGTAAGTCTACTGTAAAAGCAAGAATTAAAGTAGCAGAGATTCAAATGTCTTATTACTACTGCAGTTAGGTATATGATGGTTCACTTTTTGATGAGTTAATCAAAATAGATGAGGAAGAACATACGAGCTATTTTCTGTAGCTCATTCATTATTCTAAAAATTTTATAGTGAGCGCAACTTAGTTTCACTTGTTTCAATTTATTCTAAAGGCAAAGCTGAAGCTCAGAGATGGCCCTAATGATGTTGTATTTAGTATTACAACTCAGTATCAAGGGACTTGCCGTTGCGCGGGAACGATATATCTCTGGAACTGGAATGATAAAATCATCATATCAGACATTGATGGAACAATAACCAAGTAAGCGTCATTGCTTTTTTTCTTTTGTTATTTTTATCTTGCTTTATTGATCCTATCCTGCTTTTCAAAACAAGATAAAGAAACTCAGTTTAAGACTACTATTAAAGGATGTTCATTAAGAGCCATGAAAAACACTTGTTGCTTTGATTTTAATTTGTACTGGCATTTACTGCAAACTAGAAATCGTCTTTTAAAAGAATAATGCAAGGGTGGTAATGTTTAGCATGTGATGATTGCCCTTTCAGTTAGACTTCTACAGGTTTGGCAGCCATAGGTTAACTTGGAAACAGACTTGTACTGTGTGGCCCCACTAATCGCTCTGTCTGGAGTAGTTACTAATTGTCTTTTGAAATGGTTAGGACCTCCTGCAGAGGTATTTCTGTAAATACTCATTATAAATTGTATATTTGTTAGTGGTTGTCTAACAAAACCCATATACTTATAAGCTCTCTCTAACTTTGTTTTTAGGTCAGATGCTCTAGGACATATCCTCCCTCAGCTTGGCAAGGACTGGACTCATCAGGGCATTGCAAAACTCTATCATTCCATAAATGAGTGAGTATGTAATCTATGAAGCAATTAGGGTTTTCTGGAATTTGGGAATTAATGGACAGGTAATTGGATTGATGTTAATAATTACGCAGTCTATTACAATTTGGTGGTCTAAGTTTTGTTTGTGAATGACAGAAGTAGCTCACTTCCCAACATTAAGTTTTTTTTATTTACATAAGGATGTATACTTTTACAGGAATGGAAGCCACCTCTTCTGCTCTTTTCCTTCTCAAACGTTTGATTTTTGCATTTTAGTTCTTAAAAACCATGTGTGTTGTGACTACAAAAGAGAACCATAATAGCAATAATTTCCTAGTCATGGGTATGTCTGTTTCCCCTTGGTCACAAAGCCTGTTAGAAACATGGTGCAATGTAAGTTCAAACCTAAATAATGTCCTTCCAGTGTATAAATGTTTAGTGTTTTAATGTGTTTGCTGGCAAACTCAAGTGAATGCTTCTTTGGATAGATTTAATGTTCTGAAAGAAGCCTGACTAACAACTTGCCACTGCCACAGAGAAGGTTGGTGGCCTGGCTCATGTTTTCTGTCACTGTGTTGCGCTTCTGACATAAGATGATGCAGTTCAGTAAAAGAGTGGAACAGTAATTCAGCAAAATAGCAATTTCCCCCTTCCCCTCTCTGGGTTAGTCAGCTGAACATGCTCTCCTTGAGATCTGCAAGAACCTGCAGAGGCAGCCCATGTGGCTACAGGAGGGGAGGAAGGAGAGGAAAGATGACTTCCCCCTTGCAGCAGTGGCGAGGCGTTTGCAAAGTTCAAGTGTTGTGAACCACACCCTTGTAAATGTACTGATCACCTAAGAGGTGTATAGCCCTATAACGTTTATGTCCAGTAACTTAGGACAGAATAAACCTACGTTTTTTTCCTCCCCTTTCAGGATTGCTCCTTTATTCAGCAAACTATTTTTCAAAAATATAGCGATGCCAGAAATAATTCTTGCTACTGAGGATCACAAGATGATCAACTGTTCCAACACTGAATGATCCACTTAAACTTAAAGATAAAAGATGATTATTTTTTCTTTCAAGTATTTCTTTCCCGAAAATATTAGGGGTCTTGGAATCTTTTGTCGACCTTTGCTCCATTACATAGAACTAAATTTTTGTCTGTGGCCCCTTGCAGTCCATGGGAGATAACCTGAACTTTGTTTTGTATCAGCTGTGTCTGATTTTGCATAATAGAAGAGTAGTTTTGGAATTATTTGCCAAATTGAATCAAGTCTTTGAAAATACACATAAACACTCTAGTCTTGTACATGCAGCAACTGTGTACAAATCTGTAAAACAGATGGACATACAAAGTCTGCAGGAAAATTTTAGGGGCTTGTTGAATACTTCTTGTTATCAGTACTTCTCTCTGCACTGCAAATTCTGGCAGCAACCTGAAAAAAAAAGTCCGACAACCAAGAGAGGAGATCTGGCATACAATATTATGTGATGCAGATAATTTAAATAATTGCTATCATCCTACAGCTGGGCTGAAAGAAGCTACATAAAACCAATGTGACACTTGTTTAAACACAGTCTAGTCTGCCTAATTGTGGAATCTGAGTTTTACCATCCCTGTTCTTTTTGCATTTCCTGTTTCTCAGTTTTGCTTGAGTCACGTATTTGAACTATTATGTGCCTTGCAGATTTTTTAGCGGTGGAACAGTCTTTTCGTTGTGCATGTGTGTGCACAGCACTGCAATGAGTCAATATCTAAACCGGTGCCTCTGGACATTGCTGTAACCACATGTTGGCAAAGAAAGACTTTAGCAGGAATATGAACTAAGTTGATTATTCTTTTCTAGAAATGGCTACAAGTTTTTGTACTGTTCCGCTCGTGCCATCGGGATGGCAGATATGACCAGAGGATACCTACAGTGGGTGAATGACAAAGGAACGATTCTCCCCAGGGGCCCTCTTATGTTGTCCCCCAGCAGTTTGTTTTCAGCCTTTCATAGGTAAGTGTGTGGGATTTCATCCATCCATCCTCCTCCCTGTCTCAGAGAAAGAAGCAGATTAAAAAGATTTGGCATGCTGACCATTATAGCTGCAACCAAACGCTCCACTCTGTGCTAGATTTGATGCTGAGACTTGATGTCCCTCTAGTGATCATTTATAAGCTATTTGTTTTGTCTACTTCTGTTTCTGTGGGCATGTTAGAAGTGGCTGCAAAACACAAAATACCAGTCACAGAACAGCTCACAAAATACCAGTAATAGAGCAGCTCGTTTTCCCTTTTCTTCGTTCTTCTAGTCCAGGACTGATTACTATTAGGTTTTGTATCAGTACAATTTTGTGTTTTCAAGTACAGCTGCAAGGGTTGTGGAGTGCTGCTACACAAGATAGAGGGAAAAGAAAAAAAGCAGAGGAATATAGACTATCGTACTAAATGATCTTATGACTACTTAAAAAGCAATATGGAGTTTAGCTGTGGTTTAACTCAGTTGATCTTTTGAACCAGCCACAGTCTACCTGTTCTTGACAGGAGGAGCTAATAGTGGAAGTGTCTTTTTGATTTTTTTTTGGTTTTTAGTGAAAACAACTGGTTCATGGCTAGCAATGACAGCAACCCCCATTAAGGTCACTATTAGGCCTTTCCCACTCTTCTGTCACGATCAGGAGTTGTAACAAGCTTATGTGTCCTTGATTCGGTCTTCTACAATAAAAGCAGTTCACAAACTGTATTCATGACTGGGAATTTCATCCCATTTACTTAACCTAGGCACACGTTATTCACCTATTTTTTACTAGAAAGGTTGGAGAACAGAGAATGTTTTATTGTCTCTTGTATAATTCTTTGAAAACTACTGACCAATGTCTATGTAACTACCAATGCTAGGAACAGGAAGCAATGAGAATATAAACGTCAGATGAATAGGGGAAGGAAGATACCCACTATCAAATAATGATTTAGAATTTGACTGTTGAAATTTTATTTTAGGGAAGTAATAGAAAAGAAGCCTGAAAAATTCAAAATCGAGTGTTTGAATGATATCAAGAATTTGTTTGCTCCCAGTAAACAGCCTTTCTATGCTGCTTTTGGAAACAGACCCAATGTAAGTCTGCCCCTTTCTGACTGAAGGGTTAAAATGCATGAAATACTTGGGAAGCAAAGGAAATGGGCTTTTCTTTTTGTGTCTGTTTAAATTTGAATAAGGAAGTGGCACACTGGTGCTTTTATGGGTTTGGTCAGAAAACCCACATGCAGATATCTTAAATGAAACTACTAGATCTGCTTATATGAGAAAAGTTAGAGATGTGCTAGTATTCTCAGGATATTATTAAATGTGAACCAACTTTCCATTTACTTTTTCAGCATTTTTGACAGCTATGTAACCGAAGGGTATTAATTCAGTGCTCCTCAGTCTTGAATCCTTTTTCCTATTGTATGGTTCCTGTATTTTCTCTGCAAATTAATGATATTAGAATTGAGCTAGAGAGAGAGAAGGTATTCTAAGAAGAATATTGTCACAAGGAATGGTATTGCGTGGTATAGATTTGTCTGCGTTTGTTGTCCCAGGCTTGGGAACAGGAATTAATGGGTTGAGGGTGGGGGGACGTTTTTTGTTATCGTGTGTGTATGTTTTCTGGCTTTTTTTTTTCCCCCTATTGTTTTGAGGATTTTTTTCTTAAGGGGCAGTTTTACTGTACCCTTTTTGGATGAGCTTTTCTTATTCCTTCAAGAAATTGTTATATCACATTCAATAAGGCAATGTTGAATCATGTGCTTTTGTTCATGCTTTTTGCAGGATGTATATGCCTACATGCAAGTGGGAGTTCCAGACTGTAGAATATTTACTGTGAATCCAAAGGGTGAACTGATCCAAGAACGGACTAAGGGAAACAAATCTTCGTAAGATCATATTTGTTATTTCAGCTAAAGAAAGTATTTAGGAATGAGATTACAAAATAATTGCAATCGTTACCACGATTCCATCTTCTATTAGATATGATGTGAAAAATCTTATTTGCCAGAGACTTACAGCTTCAAAGACTTATTTTAAACTTTTTAAAAAGAAAAGTAAACTGGCGAAATAAAATTGAAAATTGCTTGTGCAGTAGTGATGCCTAATATTTGACTGTAGCTTTCTGGTCTAGACTTCTAAAGCTCCTTTTTGGCTACAGTTGAACAGTGGCTGGACTGTTAAATAATGGTCTGTCTTCTTTTTTAATACAGGTACTATAGACTAAGCGAGCTTGTGGAACATGTGTTCCCCTTGCTTAATAAAGAACAGAGTTCTGCATTTCCGTGCCCAGAATTCAGCTCCTTTTGCTATTGGAGAGAGCCTCTTCCTGACCTTAACATGGATGACCTGGCCTGAAAAATGCTTCTCACCTAGAGGTGGAATTTCATAATCAGTTTCTCAGCTTCGGTTCAAATGTGAAGAACTTTCTTAACGAAGATGCTAATTTATATACTGCTACCCTAATCTTACTGAAGAAATCACTTTAACTCTGTTGGTTGAAAACAAAGGAAAAGCAAAGCTACTGTCTGGGGTTTTTTTGGTGAGGTTTGTTTTTTGTTTGTTTCTTTATTGCTTGTCTTTATATACCTGTTCTAAGGCACTTGAGATTGGCCTGTCATTGATGGTCATGGTACCCAAGTGCTTCAGGGCAACTAAATGCTGAGGTAAACTATGACTTTGCAATTTCATCAATACAGACCTTATTGTAAACTTTTTTTTATTAGTCTTAATAGTATATTTTCTAAAGTGAAGCCAAAAAGTGTACGGAAACTGCCAAATAGAATGTCAGAACTATTAAGAAACATGGTCTAATGTTCAGATGGGCAATTACGCCATTTTTGAAAGGAGCCAGAACCTTAGACCAGTGTGCTCTTTCTCAGCTGAAAAACAGAAAATGCGTAGACGTTACTAGCCTGACAGACAGACTCTGAAGACATAAAATTCCTCTTTAAATGTAACTATGCCTTTTGTCACACGTACAAGCCTGCGCTTGTACAATTCACGTCAAACTAACTCTGCTTATTACTTTTTTACATGTAATGCTTAAACTATTTAATGAGCTTGTTAAAATGAAGGTTGTCTTCAGATACTCATATGGCTTTTGTTGTTTTCAGGCTGTACTATGTCATGTTAAATTTCCATCAAGAAACATCTTGAACGTTTCTGTAAGAGTTGGGGAGCTGGCATTTTTATTTCCTTTTTCAACACAGAGATGATGTGTATGTGTGTGTGTGCTGTGTAGGCCAGTAAAAATGTATGTACAGATTATATTCAGGGAATTGTAATACTAAAAAAAAAAGTATTTAATTTTTTAATTGTTTACTGCAGGTCTTTCCAGAATTCTGTGTTGCAGGTTTTCAGTAGCTAGAAGGACATGCAGCTCAATAGTGAGATTCCAGGTATGAGAATGGTTAAATGCTGCAGAGCAGAATAAAACTTTTTTTTCCCCCTTTTTTTTTTTTTAACTTTTGAGTAATTCATATACACCATGCTGGTCATTCCTCAGGTTCAGATCAGAGCCTGTGAACAAATTGCATTCCAAGTCTAGTGTTTATCAGCTGTAAAAGCAGTTAGTATTTCTCTCAAAAAAAATACTTGAAGGCAAAGGTAGTTCTGCTTTTTAAGTTGAGTTAGTGCATTTTACCTCCTTTGGACAAATCTGTGGTGAGAATCTATGATTCCAGCAGCCCAGAGGGCTTAAGCACTACAGTCGTCTAAACATCATTTAAGCATCAGCCATTCAAATATCGGTCCTGGGCTTTCTGGGCGCACAGTCTTTTCTGTCACTCCTTAAGCAAGTTCCTGGGGCTGTGCATCGAAGACTCTTCTGGGGGCAACATCCAGAATTTCCACCAGGCTCCGGGTCGATCTCTCCCCTGTACGCAGCTCCCAGTGGGAGCAAGGAAGTGTGCAGGGAAGTGTGAGTGATCTTTAGAAAGCATTTGTATGGCTACCTGCTGCGGTGCCTGCAGCAGAGTTGCTCGTCTCAGAAAACAGCTTGGGCAGGCCCTTCTGCTTCAGCTTCCTTGGGCTGAACGTGGGAAAGGAGCTCTCTTTGTTTCCCTACCTGCAAAAGAGTATATTTAGAGGGTTTTAACCCCCACCCTCCAGGAGTATTTTCTTTCCTTTATCAGGCAGAGTAGTCTTAACCTGCAGTTCTGATTAACACCAGCTAATGCTGGTGAACTGTTTGGAGAGATCATTTTTAGATCACTAGAGAAATAAAATAACTTTTTTTCCTCCCTTATAAAACTCTAGTGTATTCTTGTGTTTATAAACATTAAATAAAGAGTGTGGGGACAAGCAAAATCAACATGGAACCTCTCTTTCCAAGCAGGAAGACTAGTGTAGGAAAGAAAACATACCTGTCACAGTGTGCCATGCACATAAGTGAATTGAAAGGCATCCTTGTTCTTGTACAGTGAGAACAATACTTTCTGTGACTGTTTCAGCAAATTCGTGGTCCTGTCACCAGTCTACTCAGTGTTCAAGTGGATTTAACAGGATTCAACTCAAAAGATATTTTGCTCTTACTGCTTTTTTTCTTTTTCTTTTTTTTTTTACTGGCAGAATGTTACAAACATCATTCCATGTATTTTTTTTTCCTTTTCTTATCTTTTATTCCATAGATTTTATTAGAAACTAAAATTTTCATGATCACCAAGTGCTTTGAATATCAATGGTTTGAGCTTTTAAGTCACTTAAGTACTTTAAAATAAATAAACAAGAATCCAACATAATAAAGTATTTTAATTACAAGATGAAATATTCTATCTAAAGATTCTATTTTACATGAAGGGAGTGAAGCTGCCTCTCCTACAACAGTCCTTTGTGGATGTCAAAATTTTCTTTACCATGCTTAGCTTATTCTTGGTGGCCCAGGTGTTAAACAGATTTTCTAAAAATAAAAGCACTTCATGGAACTGGGATGGGTTTCCAAACGGGACAGATAGTTACCAAGGTTTGGCTGTATCTTTCTTGGTTGTTTTTTTGTTGTTGTTTGGGTTTTTTTGTTCGTTTGTTTTTTTAACTTGGTTAATTTTTTTTCCCTTCAGTTCCGTTCATCCTTTCAGATTGTGATAAACTGTATATTTTAAGGTGGGGACTTGAATGAGTGTTGTGGAAAAATAGTTTTAGGTGTTTCTCCAAGTGCATCTAATTGAAGATGGTATGAATATGGGGGTTGTGTGGTTGTAGAGAGCTCCTCATTCTGCTAACCTGTTATTTCGCATTATAGGGATGTCCAAAAAGTTGCTTTTTTGCTCTGTATCAGCTACAGTTTTGATACTTGTTTTTTGATAAAATGTAAAAGTGTTATTGAGTATTTCTGATATGAGTAGGGCAGAGTTTTTGTTTTGTTTTGTTTTTCTAAATCTGACTTGTATTTGAAGCTTTCAGATTGTTTGTTAACCCTGTTTAGGGACAGAATATGGGGGCACTGTACCTGTCACTGCATCCCTATGTAATCTGGACTGCTGGGCACTTCACTGACTCTCGAAAAGACATCTCATTGCTATCAAACTGTAGGCTTGTGCTGCAATATTAATATGAAGTAGGGTCAGTAAGAATGATGCATTAGCCTGTCCTTTAGTCGAGAGAAGTGGCCTGAAACTAATGTTTGAGAACAAGTTGTGCTATACTTACTTAAAATTAGCGCAAGCCAAATCATTCTTTCTATGAAAGAGGAACTCCTAAGTGTGTGTGTGTCTGTAGGCACAGGCACACCCCCGTTGAGACTGTGTTGTTGAAGATGCAGGTCCTCTTAGCATTGGAACCGTGTCAAAGGCTGAGTCAACGATACCTATCTAGGAATAAACACGAAGCGTTGCAATTCAAAACTTGTTAGTGACTTGGACATTAGCCATTCCTGCCATGATTTAAAGATCAGTAATTTAAGGGGTACACATTTCTGGATTTTTTTTTTTTTTTTTTCACTGTACCAAGCATGTTTGTACTTCAAAAGGTTGGGCTCTTGTCCCTAACAGTATACAATTGCATGTGCAGTCTTGGCTCATGTATCCTTAGCTTCCTGTCATCAGTATACTCCTCCTAAAACTTTTTTATTTTCAACTGGAAAAGTTTTAACACTTGTGTCAACTCTGTTATGGAACTTCTGAAGCAAACTCTGAATCTGCTTGTGGTACAACCAAAAGAGATGAGATTTCATGTTAATATTTCATACAAGTCTTCTAGAAAAAGCTGTCATGAATGAGGGCTGTTCAAATTACTGTAATGCAAATTCATAATGAAACATCAAAAATACATAGTGAATTTGAGATGCCTTTAAAGTGTCACTTTTGCCTGAGGAAGTTTTAGTTTCCAAAGTTAAATTCTGCTGAATAGAATGGAATTGTTTTGGATTTTTTTTACAGTGTTAATTACTTCCAGATGAAAGTCGAAACTTTGGTTTATTTTGAGGGTGGGAAAACTCTTCAATCATTTGTTTCATTTTTATGTTGAAGATGTGGAATACTTGATTGTTAAGCAACCCAATCACTAATAAAGTAGTGTGTTTAAAATTGTCAAATCTGTGATCATACCGATACAGTGGTTTTTGTTAAGACTGGACTATCGTGGGTGTGGTGACCCACACTTCAGTGCAATGTTTATTGATGTTCAGAACAATGTTATCACAATAAACAAACTTAAACTAATTGTTTTCTTCAATTTGTACTTGGGAATCCCATTCTAGTATTGCTAATTTAGTAAATGTGGGTTTATTTAAATTGTATTCATATTTTACATGGAATCCAAGTTGCTCTTCTAAGGACTATGATATGTTTGCTTTTCTCACATGCGGTTTAATTTTTTCAGAGTATATATAAAATGGATAAATAATTGCTGTTACCAAGCTTGCCACGTGTGCCCATATCAATATTGGGTTATAACCATAATGAAAAGAAAACATGCATTAATGATATAGAATATCAGATAACAGATGCATGACTTGGGAATGCACAAGCTGTCTTGAAGAAAATCTTACAACGGCAGTTTGAGCTCTTGTAAATCTGCCCTAATTTGGAGTTTTATCCTAATTCCATCCGAGTTTACTTTTTCCTTTCAAGGCAAAGAGTATTGTCTTCCACAACAGCTGTTCATTTGCTTGTGGCAATTATTGTGAGACCATTGTGAAAAAGGGGCCTCAAGCTTTCAGTAGAAACTTATTCTTCCTTCTCTTGCTGTTTTTTGGTAAATGCAGCTAACCAGCAGCCTGCCTTTAGAAAATCCAACTGGTTCAGTCCCATGTTGAAGTATGACAGACCCGCATGAAAGCGTAAGCGATGTTGTGCCTTTTAATCCTTCTGCGGTGCGTGTCATTCGCCCTGCTGCCCCCAGCACCCCCTCGCTCTCTGTGTGCCCAGGCACAGAGCTGACTGCCAGAGTTCCAGCATCTCCTGCCGCAGCAGCAGACTCCCCGTTTCTGCTGGGTGTCCCCTGTGATTCTGCTCGCACGCGGCACCCTTCCCTTCACTGCCCGCCCTTCTCACCCAGTCACTCAGTGCTTGTTTGTTGAGCGACTTTACCAACGCAAGCGATACAAGGGCGGCGTGTCCCGTGTGTGCCAAACCCTTCACATTTGTTACAAAAACATTTCTGAGCTGGCGTTGTTTTCTTCTGTGTCCATCTTATCATAATGGACTCCTAATGGAGTAATCTTGGTTGATGGGTTTTTGGTGGGTGTCTTGGAGCAACAGTCTTACAAGTGGAAAGAATAGAATCACAGACAGAGCTTCCAAGAACGGACGCTTTTCTGCATGTGTGCAGGGCACCGG